GACCCAAGGGTCAGGGATTCTGGTGTTAGGGTGGGTCGCTATTGATTATATATTATATTGAAAATACATATGGAAATTTTTTTTTGGGGGGGGGGGGGGGCAGTGAGTCAAAGTCAATCCTCCACTCCCTGGCACATGGTATAAATATTGCATATGATGTAGTTGAGTGTATCATTGAAAATTTTTACCCAAAGAAAACCATTGTCAACCGAGGCGTTATTTATCATATTGTACTGAATGTTTTACACAAATACATAAATTACATGTATTACATGTTTTACATGTATGTACAGTGAAAAAACCTTGCGGGCATAAATTCTGCGCAGTTAAATTTTTTTGTCATATCACCCGTCGTCAAGCAATGTTGACTGATGCAGCGCTGGAGGGCTTGGCTTCTTCATTCAGCGGGTAATAGTGTTTCTTTTTAACAAACGTTTCCCGAAGAATCAGATTAAACTAATTTACATGAAAGTATAATACCGGTATATATACATATTCTAATTTTGAAATGTCTGTTCTACCCCCTCTTCAAATCTTATATTAACCAGTTAAACAATTTTGAATCCAGTAAAGCTTAGTCTGGTATACTCGTTGCTCTCCAAAATGTCCCCGTTGAAGGCTATGCCAACGCGAACTTTTACAATGTCTCCCTCTTTTACATGAAGAAAGGTAAATGTGGAAGAGGACGCTCTGTCGTTATGGTTCATTGCATCCGCCTATCCGATGTCCTTCACTATATCATTTTTGACGAGTTGCACTGAACAGTGAGATTTGTCTTCCGCAACAATTGTGACGTAGAAAGCATAGACACCATTTTCAGGTACAATAAAGTTTCCGCTTGTCACGTCATATCCGTTTCCGACATTGGTTTCCACTCGGTCGTACACAAGGGTTTTTTTGACTCTGAGAGAACTGATTTGCACACTACCTGACATGTAGGTATAAAAAGCAACTTGGTTTTTCCCTAAAAAAAACCCCCCAAAAAACCAACATAATTATACATTTTGGGGTGATTGTCCCTTGATTTAAAACATCAAAGCATGTTTCATATCATTTATAATCATTGGTTTCTGACTAGATGAAATATTCAAAGAATATTGTTATTTCCCAACCATGAAAAGGAGGACACGGCGAGTGTGACCGGTCGGCAAGGGATGCTCACTCCTCCATCGCACCTGATCCCACATCTGATGTTTTGGAGGTCCGTGTTTGATCTGCTCCTATTTTGTATTGTTTTATAAACGTTTGAGCTTGAATACTGATCGTTATCTCTATATATTTTACTTATATGTCATATCTTTAAATGTAACGGAATTAAAATACATGTCTATTATTTTATTTTATCATCATCACCATTGTACACCTTTAAACAGAAATGGTAAATTGAGGGACTATATTTTCGGCGGAACGGCGGCGTATGATTTTTTTGTGCTTCTCAATGAATTTAGTTAAAAGTTTTACACAATAAAAGATATGAAGAAATTTTCAAATGTTAATATACTTTATAATTTAAGGGACTTAAGTTTTAAAACATATGATATAAAAAATATGATATTCCAAATTCACTACCATTATATTAGCTTTTTTAAAAAGCTTCTAATCTAAATACAGATTTTAGCCATAATTCAGTATAAAGTTTTTTTTTCTCTTAGTAGATGGTCAGGGTTTTTTTTGGTATCATTTTGTATCTTTATATGACTAATTTTTTTTAATGTGTGAAAAAAAATAAATATTCAAAGCATATAAAAATAACTAATATATTCTAAAAATTTAAGAAAAATACAGAAAATTTCGATTAACCAATATCCTTTTTTAGTTAAATTAATATGTCAATTTGATATTTATATAATAGTGTTGCATTATGCATGTACTATGCCTAAATAGTAGGCAGGGTTTGTCACATGGTGCACGAGCCGGAGGCGAGTGCACTATGTGTCAAACCCTGCCTACTATTTAGGCATAGTACATGCATAATGCAACACTATTGTTATTATTATGCTGACTGTTGTTATTATTTATGCGGCAATCCATTTGATTTTTTCCCGAAAATAATGGTGGTAACACAGCGCTCTTGCAAAAACTCATTCAAAATCTTGATGCTAAAATTAGTTGCATGCTTAGTTATTTTGGTTACTAGTATTTTCTCAAAATAAGTCAGGATTTTCTGTCCCAAAGCAATTCATCTTTATTTTCTGTTTTGTTAGTAAGACTGATTTGTTTACAGACGTGGATTCTCATTGATAATTTTCTTTTACATGCTTCAATCAAGCGCTATATAAAAAAGCGTTTTAATGACCCCATGATATCAATTCATCTAACGAACTGTATGTAATTAGTTTGAAACTGTGTTGTACACATTTATCTAAGATTCCTTAGAATAAATATAACTGATTTCAAATAATATTTGTCTATTTTCTCCTTCTTGTGTCAATTGTATAAATTAAGTTTATATATTTAATAAAATTCTCCCAATCATTGATCGTCTCTGTGGCGTAATCGATTAGGCATCGGACTGGCAAACTCATAGCCGTGAGTTCGATTCCCGGTGTGTGCATTGTAGAATTTTATTCAGAAAATAAGGCCGTGCACTATTTCGGCATAGTATGCTTACGCTATATAAATCCTTAGACCACTATGCGAGAATAGTAGGGTATGGGTTATATAGAGACAAACTGACAGGAAGCATAATAATATCTGATAGACCCTTTATGGTAATAACTTTCTATGAAAAAAATTAAAACATTTAATCTTCTGAAATAGAAGTACGCATCGCGTGATTGGCAACAGTATTTTTTTTATTCTTAATGTTCAGAGAAGATAATAACCTGGACTTGACCATGTTTCTAATATAAAACGGTAACTGATATCATCACCTAGTGATTTTGTCTTCTTGAATCTATGAAAATTTCATTTAATTTCAAAAACGAGAAACATGACCAGAATCCCTACAAGTGATGCTATTGCTCAAATAGTGGTAATCGTTGAAAACAGTTCTACTACATGTAAAGACACAGTGGCAAGTAAGATAAAATTTAAATTAGTGCTTTAGTTCCAGAAAGGTTAAATTATTTAATTTCAGAGTGTGTTCATGAAAACCTTCAAAAATGGATACCAGGCAGCATCGTACTGCGTTAGACAACTTAGATGTATTTGAGTAATTCAGGAGATCAAAATTATTCAAAATTAAAAAAAAAAAAAAAAAAAAAGATTAGTAACATGTCAGTCGACGCTCTTAAAAATTAAGCAATTTTGATAGCATTATAAAAGAAATGAATTATTAAAACATTATATTACATATAATCTTTAAGTGATAGACAAGTGTTTTAATTTTTCCATCCTCAAAAACCTGTAATTGCATGTACATGTATTTGGAATATTAATCAGAATGAACAGATAATTAAAAGTTTACAAAATGTCTGACAAAAGGAATATCTACTCACCTAACTGACTGAATCTGCTGCCGCTCAGCTGTGCACACAGACTATATACAAATCGTGTCCTCCATTTCTTCTCTGTCACACGATTCCTCGCGCATCGGCCACGGAGGAGGCCAAACACAGGGATAAACAGAGCAACAACCACTGCAACTTCATTCTTAAGCAATGTTAAAGCTGACATGAATTCTTAAAAACGCAACATCATCTATGTACGACTTGTTTCATACCAACGATAGCCATTCACATACAGATACCTTGTCTCATTGTAACGATGTATACCCCAATGCGCTCGTTACAGTTGAATGATTTTTTGGTTTGGGTAAACTTGTGCACATCTCCGATGGTAAAGCATATATGAGAACACATAAGGAGATCAAGACATTTCAAAAACACAATAAACAAAGTAATAATCATATTTCTGAATAATTATTGATTTGAATCAAAAGAAAAAAATGCAAGTTTGGTGAGGAATTTAGATGCACGAGTACGTATTTTTACAGTGCGCCAATTTATGCAGAATAAACTTGAAATAAAAAGCAGTAAAATCTGCAAACACATTTTAAAATTATTATCATTTGAATGGCACAAAACAACCAACGTCTTTGATTTGCAGCCCCTATGCAATTTTTGCATATCTGTCAGAAAAAACTTAGAACGCTGTAAACGTACCCATACCTGGTAATGAGGTTACTGCATCGGTTCGAAGATGTGCACAAGTCAAGTGATATACACCCTGAATTCCATTTATTGAAATATGCATCACAAAAAAGAAATAAACTCTGTAAAAGCTCAATAGTAAACACACTGTCATTATTTCTAACAAACAAGCACGTCGATACACCTAGTCCGTGCTGATCAGATTTTGGTCAGGGAAAATATCACAAGTGGAAAGAGAAGTTATTTGGTATTTGGCGGCTGAATGGGGGGGGGGGGTATTATAACTGCTGTTCATAAGCTATAAATTAATTGTGAATTGTCTATCTACATGTAGTTCTAATATACATTCTATACAAAGTCATGTATATAGTCTGCAGTTGGTTTGGCCAAAATTCATTTGTCAATTATAACTGATTATTATAGAGACTAATCTCAAATCTGCAACCAAGTAATTTGATGTACGGTAATTATTTACTTCAAATCTTAAAAGCAATTAACCAGAATACAATGTGTACATAGATCTATACGCTCTTTAACACACAAAGAAATGCCATCCCCTGTTCAGATTGACATTTAGGCATTTGATTTTTTAGGCGGGGGGGGGGGGGTGCAAAAATAATTTACATGACCGTAATCTAAATATTGTTGGAAGACAGATATCTCTGCCGAATTCAATTTTGAAATTTTTTTTTAAATGTGTCACTCTTACCACAAAGTATGTGCATTTTGAGGTATTTATAAATGTTGTATAATTATGGTGTTAAAGAGAGACTTTACAGATTTATATCCCTGCCTGATAGTCTAGCTATTTTTTTTTATATTTAAAAATAATTTCTGTAGGAGTATTTGGGTGATAATTTTAAAAGCTAGGGTAGGGAGTCTTGACACTGGTTGAATACGGATAATTTTTATTTACTCTTTTGTGTATTGAACTCTCTCTCTCTTTCTTTCTCTCCCTCTCTCTCTCTCTGTAGCCATCTCTTAGGGCAATAATAGGTATAAGATTTTACGCACTTTGTGCTGTCCATTTATTAAGCTTTAGGAAAGATCAAGGAGACCACAGGGATGTGGACAACTTCATAAATTGAATAATAATTTTAATTTGGACGAGAAGTTAACCCAAACGGCCAAAATGAAAAAAGAGAAAAAGAGGTGTGTGTGAGCAATGAGCTCACTAAAGTTTAGTTCTCCACGGGTGAGTTTTCACGCAGCAATATTCAATGTCTATACTAAGTATATATTTGTACAAAAGCCATCTTTACCCCCGGTTCCGACACTTACATGTATATGCTGAACCTGGACAAAAGACAATGGAATTTTTATAAAGGTAATTGTAGGAAGAATGCGGAAATCCTAAGGAGGGGGTATCCTCTCTCATTTTATCTGCTTTTTCTAGTAATCATTAATTATTTATGTCTAGAAATTTAATTCACATTAAATTCTATTTTCATTATCATTGTACCACAGAATCAAACTCGTTTATTATACCCTTGCAACAAGTTGCGTGAGGTATAATGTTTTTTGACCCATCAGTCAGCCCTTTTTTTTTTGGTCAGCGCAACTTCTTATAAACTAATGCACAAATTTTGTTCGAACTTTATGTAAAGGATCAATGTGTCTGTATTTGCACATTACCAGGAAATGCCCAATCTTTATTTTTTGGGAATTTCCGCACTTTTACATTTAGATTTTGGCGATATCTTGAATATAAAGATGAGCAGTTTGTTACAATTTCATAAACCGCTGCACACAATTTCGTTCAAACTTTGCAGATATTTAGGACACAATGTGTATATATGGGCATATTACAAGGAAATTACGATTCCTTTATTTTTTCTGTGAATTTCAGCACTTCGACTTTTGTGGGAGCGTGGGGTATGTGAATTTGCTCACTTTTTCTTTCAGTGTGCATAAAATTGTAAACAACTTTAAATCAAATTATATTAGGTCTAATAAAGCCAATACACAGTATTTATTTGATTATATTTGATAATAAAGAAATCCGACCTGTTCCAGACGTTTTTCTTAAAATATTTTTATGAGAATGTTATGCATGTTTTATTACCCCCCCCCCCCCCTTTCACAGGAAAATATGTGTCATATCTTCAAAAGGTGAATGAGAAGATAATAATGCATGCTTTATTATAAATTTGATGAAGTTAAAAATGTTTTCAAAAATTTTATTTACACCATTTACAGACAAGAGTAATGTTTATTCTTTAAAAAAAATTATATGCATTTTCTTCAGTCAACTCCACGGCGCTTTCAACCTTTGATATTTTCCCTGACCAAGTAAAATGATCGGCATGGACCACGTGTGTCCAAGCAGTTTTTACTGTTGAGTTAGCAATGGATTACATGATTTCTGAGATGCATTTTTCAATAAAAGTAAAATAGGATAATTCTTTCGACATGTGCACATCCCTGTACCGATAGCAGTACTCAGGTAAATATTTCTATCACTGCGTTTGACGCGTTTTCTCGACTGACCTGCATGGAATTTTTGCTCTACTTGAATGTATTCCGTGTAAGTGTATCTTCTTTATTGCAGCAAATGCATTCAAAAATAATTTAATTCTCGGTATAGTTCTAGTTTTTGTTGAATTTTTACTTTTCAAACATGTATTGGTCGGTTTATGGACTTCTAAAAAACTATGCTATCGGAGATGTGCACATGTCGACAGCCAGGATAGAAAATCACTCAAGTGAAACAATTGTAAAGGGCTATATATAGCAGGTACAGGTGGCCAAAAATCTTCGATTAAAGCTGACATGAACTCTTAAAAAGGCATCAGTTTTCATCTTTGTACGACTTACTACATTCCTGTAAACCCTTGTCCGCCATATTTCTTCGATTCCGCCATATTTATCGAAGATTTTTGGCCACCTGTACCTGCTATATATAGCCTTGTAGAATTGTTTCACTTGAGTGATTTTCTATCCTGGCTGTCGACATGTGCGCACGTCCGATAGCATAGTTTTTTTAGAAGTCCATAAACTGACCAATACATGTTTGAAAAGTAAAAATTCAACAAAAACTAGAACTATACCGAGAATTAAATTATTTTTGAATGCATTTGCTGCAATATAGAAAATACATTTACACGGAATACATTCAAGTACAGCAAAAATTCCATGCAGGTCAGTCGAGAAAACGCGTCAAACGCAGTGATAAAAATATTTACCTGAATACTGCTATCGTTACAGGGATGTGCACATGTCGAAAGAATTATCCTATTTTACTTTTATTGAAAAATGCATCTCAGAAACCATGTAATCCATTGCTAACTCAACAGTAAAAACTGCTTGGACACACGTGGCCCATGCCGATCATTTTATTTGGTCAGGGAAAATATCAAAGGTTGAAGGCGCCGTGGGGTTGACTGAAGAAAATGCAAATAATTTTTTTTCAAGAATAAAATTACTCTTGTCTGTAAATGGTGTAAATAAAATTTTTGAAAACATGGTTAAACTTCATCAAAGTTATAATAAAGCATGCATTGTTACGAATCATTCACCTTTTGAAGATATGAAGATATTTTCCTGTGAAAGGGGGGGGGGGGGTAAAAATACATGCATTATTACACTCTCATAAAAATAATTTGAGAAAAACGTCTGAAACAGATCGGATTTCTTTATGATCAAATATTATCAAATAAGTACTGTGTATTGGATTTATTAGACCTAATATAATTTGATTTAAAGTTATTATAATATGATTTAAAGTTATTTATAATTGTATGCACAATGAAAGAAAAAGTGAGCCTATTCACATACCCCACGCTCCTGCAAAAGTCGAAGTGCTGAAATTCCCAGAAAAAAAAGGAATCGTAATTTCCTTGTAATATACACATCTATACACATTGTGTTCTAAATATCTGCAAAGTTTTACGAAATTGTGTGCAGCGGTTTATGAGGAGTTGCGCTGACAAACTGTTCATCTCCATATTCAAGATATGGCCAAAATCTAAATGCAAAAGTGCGGAAATTCCCGAAAAAATAAAGGATTCGGAATTTCCTGGTGATGTGCAAATCTAGACACACATTGACTCCTATGAATATCTCGAAAGTTCGACAAAACTCTGTTCAGTTGTTTCTAAGAAGTTGCGCTGACCAAAAAAAAAAAAAAAAAAAAGGACTGAATGATGGGTCCAAAACATTATACCTCACGCAACTCGTTGCGAGGGGTATAATAAACGAGTTTGATTCTGTGGTACAATGATAATGAAAATAGAATTTAATGTGAATTAAATTTCTAGACATAAATAATTAATGATTACTAGAAAAAGCAGATAGAAAGAGAGAGCAAACCCCCCGTGAGAATTCCACATTCTACCTACAATTTGCTTTTTAAAAATGTCCAGGTCCAGGTTCGACTCGTACGTTTGAGCATAGGTGTCGGAACCTGGGGGTGGCTTTTTTTTTTTTTTTTACAAAAATATATTTGGAATAGACATTGAACATTGCTGCGTAGGTTAAGCCTCCCCCCACTTTCCACAGACAAGTCGCAGTATAGGTTAAAAAAG